ATATCATCCGGGAAAAGCGAACGTTGTTACAGAAGCCCTAAGCTGAAAGGTGAGGGGTGAGTTATCCTGTTGCATCACTCAGCAGAAACAGCTCATCAGAGAGTTTGCCCGGATGCAGATCGAGGTTGTCGAGTCACTTCCTAATGAGATTCTAGGGAGTATTAGCTTGATGCAAGTTTAGCCCACGTTGAGAGATAGAATCCGGCGGGAACAGTCACACGATCACTTCATTCATGTTATACAAGCGAAAGTTCACGCCGGAGGAGTAGAGGGCTTTTACCAAGGCATCGATGGAGCCTTGGAGTACAAAGGCAGGATTATTGTGCCGAATGTTGAGGCCTTGAGAATGGAGATCTTGGCTGAGGCGCATAGTGCTCCATACATGGCGCACCCCGGTAGCACCAAGATGTATCACGACTTGAAGAGGTCGTTTTGTGGAGGGGTATGAAGCGAGAAGTCGCCGAGTTCGTAAAGAAGTGGTTAGTTTGTCAGCAGGTGAAAGCCGAGCATAAGGTTCCACCAGGACTCTTACAGCCTTTAAATATCCGGCAGTGGAAGTGGGATAAGTTGACCATGGATTTTGTCACTGGATTAGCGATATCGTTAGAGCACCACGACGCGATATGGGTAGTAGTGGATCAACTGATGAAGTCGGCCCATGGAGCAGTTAGCCGAGACATATTTGCGTGGAATCGTTAGACTTCACAGCATTCCTGCCGAGATTATATCAGATAGAGATCCTCGATTTCCTGGCCATTTCTGGGGAAGTCTGAATGAGTTCATGGGGACGAAGTTGAAGTTTAGCTCCACATATCACCCACAGACCGACGAACAGTCAGAACGGACCATACAGACGCTTGAAGACATGCTCCGAGCTTGTGTCTTAGAGCGAGGAGGTTCGTGGGAGAAGTTATTGCCCACTGTAGAGTTTGCCTACAAAAACAGCTATCACTCGTCGATCAAGATGGCGCCGTTTGAGGCTTTGTACGGTCGCAAGTGCCGCTCACCCCTTTATTGGGATGAAGTCGGTGAGAAAAAGATTCTCGGTCCCAAGTTGATCGAGGACACGGTGCAGAAGGTCGCTGAGATCCGAGAGAGGCTGAGAGAGGTGCAAAGTCGACAGAAAGCCTATGCTAACAAGCGTAGAAGTGAGCTTGAGTTCGAAGAGGGAGATAAAGTATTCCGGAAAGTCACGCCGATGAAGGGCGTTGTACGATTCGGGAAGAGAGGGAAGTTGCAGCCCCGATTTATAGGGCCGTTTGATATTCTCGAACGAGTTGGCGTAACAGCCTATCGTCTAGCGTTACCCCCCAGAACTCTCGGGTATACGTAACGTTTTCCATGTGTCGATGTTGAGGAAGTATGTGTACGATCTGAGCCACGTGGTGAACTTTGGCGAGTTAGAGGTCTGGCAGAACCTGACATATGATGAGCAGCTGGTAGCAGTTCTAAACCGAAAGGTTCGACGGTTGAGACATAGAGATATAGAGCTCGTCAAAGTTTGTTGGAGTTGCCACGACGAGTTGGAAGCCACTTGGGAGAGAGAGGCCAAGGCCAGAGCTCAATATCCAGATTTCGAGTTCTGAGTTGTATCAGTTGTACCTTGTGTACTTTTTATGCTTTTGTATATAGTCAGTAGTAGGAATTCTGACCTAGTACCCTAGTTTTGTATTTCCGAGGACGAAAATATTTTAAGGAGGATAGGTTGTAACGCCCCGATCTTTTTTTTATTATAATAAGACTATATCAATGCTCGACTTTTATGTTAAAATTCATAGTTTTCAAAAAATTGAGATTTATATAATTGTATATGCTAAGTGCTCATTATAGTATGTAAGATTATTCCTTAGAATTTTATTCATCATGTTAAGGCTAAAATAAATTCATTGATTTGGATTGATAAGTGATATTCGATCCGACTCAAGAAATTTATGCGATGTCGACCCCTAGTCTCACTCCGAGTATTTTTCGCAAGTCATTGACAAGTCATAGTAGTGTAATACTTAGAATAATTTTAAGTATTCAAAAACTTCAAATTCAAGCCCTAGACCCCTTTTGGGTCTGAGCATATTCGAGAAATCGCGCGAAAACGAGTTTCGGCCTAATCGCCCACGCCCGAGGTCAACCGGACACCCAGCAGGCCAGCAGCGCGCCCAGCGCACATGCAGCCATGACCAACACGCGCACAGGCAGCCCAGCGCGCACGCAGCCGCGCCCAACACGCATGCAGCTCAGCGCGCGCCCAGCAGCGCTGATACGGAAGTGGTCATCAACCCCGGTGAGTCCGACAATGATGATGGCAATGATCTCGTTTTATGGTTAGAAAACATGTTGGAAGAGCCATCTAGTCCTATTCACCGGCCATCATGTTTAAGGGATTGGCCAAAGGGATGTGGTCCACAAGCAAAGTTGAAGCCTAGGAGGAGCAAGACCAAACGAGCTCGAAGGAAACACAAGGCGAAGGCGAAAGAGGAGAAGTGTTGGTGCAAGCCTTGTTCGAGGAAAAGGCGAGTTCGCAAGATGGTGGCTCGAAAGGGAGGTAAGGGTCGTATGAAGGATGGTTGGATTTGGCGAGCTGGTGATTGTATCGGGATGGATGAATGGGACCCGTGGCCAACGGGCGAGCCGACGGGGCCGGACGGCCAAGGGGTCGAGGAGGATAGGCTATCGGGTGTATGGCGCGCATCGTGCCATGATGCGCGCGGACGGCCGAACGATCGAGTGCGAGAGGTGACAAGCGCGGTCGGAGGTGGCGAAGAGACGGGGAGCGCGGGTTGCGCCAAAGCAGCGCACGAGTACGAGGAAGTCGGCAACCGCGTGGGTGGACGAGACGCGCGATGGGTGGCCAGCTGGGGAGAGGCGTGCGATGGGCGCGCGAGTACCAGTGAGGCAGGCAGACGCCTGGTCCGCATAGGCGTAGGCGTAGCGGCCAACGGTGTGGATATGGGCAGTACGCGCGGCACGGCAGGCGCACGGGGCTGCGCGATAGAGGAACGGACATCGGGAACTGGCGGCACGCGCGGAGCAGCAGGCAATGGACGTGCGGGGCGCGCTGGGGGCGCGAGTGGCAACGACACGAACAGAGACCTAGTCCGCACGGGACTAGGCGAGGCATTGGACGCACACGCACAAGACCCAATCCTGATGGGCATAGGAGTACCGGGCGCGGGAGTGCACGCGCAGGAGGAACGCGGCAACGAGGAGGCGCGCGCGAGCGCGCGCGCGTATGGTGACCGCGTGCAAGACGCCGAGTCCGCCGAGGACTAGGAAAAGCGGACGGACGGGCGCGCACATACGAGTGGAACGCGTGCGAAAAATAGGGCGGCCGAGAGATAGTTTATTTTTAGGTAGCTTCTAGATTTGCTTGGTGTGCAAGCCAAGCATTAGTTATTTGGTAGGTTTAGGATTTTATTGCTTTCTAGACTTAGGATTTAATATTTAATTATTTATTTAGTTTCCTAGTGAGATTAGATCTAGACATAGTTGGTATCTATAAATACCCCATGTACCTCATCATATTTTACATGTGGAAGTTGAATGAAGTATTGAATTGGTGAGCCAATTGAGGGGGAACTTTATGTTCTTAACGTGTGATAAAGAAGGCCATTAGTGCGTCTTTACATACAGTGTCGGAGAGAAGGCCAATAGTGCGTCTTGAAGTCACGGTGTCTAGGAGAAGGCCGCAGTGCGTCTGCTAGATACATCTATCGGGGATAAACGAAGGCCTCAGTGCGTCGTTTATTCGCAACACAGTATAGACAAAAGATCGATCCGTCATCAAGCGCCCAGCACGGGGGCAGCGCGCGCAGACAGCGTGCCAGCGCGCCTGGGGCCAGTGCCAGCCCACCTTCCGAGCCAAATTGCTCAAGTTTTGGCCCATTTTCTTCAAGTCCACGTTCATGCATATATTATCGGGTGGATTAAGAGTTGTTTAAGCCTAAGGTTACCTTAAGATGGATTAAGGATGGTTAATTAGCATTAGCACTTAGAGGGCATGTGCAAGGTACATTATTTTAATGTGTATGTGTAAGGCTTTGTCCCTTAGTGCTTTGGAACTTGTCCAGACCATATTCTATGTTAAGATGCTCTCCAAATTCAGCCAAAAAGCCCTGCAAGTCGTGCCAAGAAACCTCCCCAAGACCTTATGCACCTAGGGAATGGGGGTGGAAGGTTTGTCTCCCATTTGTCTCCACTTCAAGCCTTGGTTTCTCTGCCCATTAGTGCTCATTTAAGCTCCATTCTCCAGCTGAGTTTGGCTCTTAAAGGCATAGTAATTTCGAGCTCAACACTTAGCATATAGAGAGAATAAGAGAGGAGTTTGGTTCATGTGCATACTAGTGCCTAGAACATCGCCTCCAAGTTATCTCTTATTCTAACCAAGTTTTTCGGCATCAAGACAAGTTCATATCATCTCTGGGAGTATAAGGAGCTTAGAGAAACCATCATCCCAGGCCTAAGGCCACCGTATCGAGCCAAGGCCCGAGTAAGCCCCGAGCAAGCACGAGCAAAGGCCCTAGCACCATTTTCGTTTTTCGGTGAAGGTTAGCTTGTGCAATCTTTTTATTTTAGCTACTACATGATATTTTAAGATTTATCATATATCGAAATCATGTTTTGCTATGGTAGAATAGGAGTTTCGTTTTTTTTGATGTTTTAATCCTTAAAATCGAATTTTCAGTAGCAAGCATGTTTTGGCCGAGTTTCATAGCTTAAAAATTCTTATAAATCATGTTTATAATGCTGATAAAATTTGAGCATGTTTCAAGTTCGAATGCTTGGCCAACTAGAAGTCGATTTTTAGCTCATTTTCACCCCCGAGGTCGAGTTATGTTACATGTGAGTATATGCCATATTTTCAGCCTTATAATTCATTTTTAGGTTGATAAGTACTCAACAATTATAATATGCTTAAGTATGAGTAGTTGGTTCGGTGACTTAGCGTCCACACGTGCCATATCGGCCCTATCAAGCTATCTTAGCATCTAACCAAGTCATGCTAGTGTTTCTTTGCATCTCACCGGAAAAGTTGCCGGATGGCCGGCAAGGGCCGGCCATGGTCACTGGCCGCACATGCAGCGCGCGCAGTGCCGGCCCAGCGCACGTGACCACGTGCAGCAGTGCAAACAGACAGCACCCAGCGCGCCCCGCATGCGTGCAGCGCGCGCATAGCGTGCCCAGCAGCACGCCCGTGCTCCCAGTCGGCGCCAGTCGTGCCCAGCAGCAAGCCAGCACACCCAGTCAGCCTCGAATCATGCACAGCAGCACGCCCGTGCGCCCAGTAGGCTCCAGTCGTGCCCAGCAGCTCGTCGGTGCACCCAGTCGGCCTCGGGTCATGCCCAACAGCACGCCCGTGCGCCCAGTCGGCCTAGGTCGCACGCAGCAGCACCCAAGTGGCCAGTTGTGCCCGTGCTCGCGCCCCGGACTGCGCCTAGCAGTGCACAAGACCGCGCCGGTCGCACCTAGTAGTTCCCAGCGCCGCGCCAGGGCATCAGTAGACCCTACGCGGGACCGAGCCTGATCAGTCCGAGCAGCACTTGGCCGTCTGGCCACAACGAGCCGGCGGTCCGGCCAGTCAGCGAACCAGTCGGTATGAGTCAGTTTTGGTTCGAGTATTTTAGTCCGAGTATTATTCTGAAATTTTGGTATTTTTCTAAGCCAAACAGTTCAGTTTAAGTATATCAGCTTATTTTCTATGCTTAGTATGATTTTATCGAACCCTTAGTGCGTTCCTTTATATCCGGATAAGTTATTCGATATAATCGAGCATCCCAGCATTTTTTTTTGTATATTATGAGCATAATACTTAGTATATGTTTGCCTATATTTTTATATAGCTTGAGGAGCCAGCTACCAGCACAGCACTTACATATTTTTCAAAGCAGAATAGGTGGGGACTCAGACTAGGTATTACATTGAGTATAATAGCTAGATCATGACAAAGGTATGTATGTATATAAGTACGCTTATGGGTTTAGGCCGAGTAGTTCTCCCCTAAGTTCTGGTGGTGGCCCGAGTTCGCCTTAATATTCCACTAGAGTGTGCATACGGTTACCGCCCAGAGTGTCCGGAAGATTACAGATTCAGTTACTGGCCAAAGTGTCTGGGACCGGCCAAAGTGTCCGGGAGATTTCAGTTTACTTATATACCTGCAATCATGATATTGATAATACTATTGCTGTTTACTTTAGTATAGGTTCTCACGGAGCACGATGATTTAGTGCTCACACCCCATTATTACGTGTTTTCAGATGACAGGGTCGGCGGGGAGGTGTGAGCTCCGATTTGGTGGTGTTGGTCATGGAACTGGCCGAGCTTGCCTATATGTTGACTCTTAATAAATTGCCTGTATAACTATGCTACGTTTTTAAGACTTCCGCTACGTTTTTCAGTTCCGGACTTGCATGTCTTTATTTTCGAACATTAATAATTTACCCAGTTTGCTAGTATGAACGTGTCTAGTTTGCATGCTTGTTCGACTAAATATTTTAAATCTGTTTTTCTTATATTTAAACCAGTTTGAGAAAATGGATTTTCAAAGCAGTTAAGTTTTAGCAGCATCCCGAGTTAAGTTACAAATAATTTCAAAAAAATTATATGCGTTTTCGGAACAAAAGTTACGTAAAAATTTTACTATGATAAGTAGAAGCTGAGGGTTGCAAGAACAGGGTTGCAGAACGAAAAAATAGGACTCTTATGGAAATGGTTAGGTCGATGATGAGTTATTCGAAGTTACCAGATTCTTTCGGGGGATTGGCTTTTGAAACAGCTGTGTATATTCTGAACATGGTTCCTTCAAAGTCAGTAGAAACTACCCCTCATGAGATGTGGAAAGGGCGCAAGCCTAATTTTTCACAATTTCGAGTATGGGGTAGTCCTGCGCACGTGTTAGTGCAGAAGCTGGCAAATTGGAGAAACGATCGGAAGCACGAGTGTTTATAGGCTATCATCCCAAGGTGTAATATCCCGACTTTTTATCAGTATAATAATATTTTAGTTCCGATATTATTTTTCGGAATTAATTATTTTCAGCTATTTCAGTCGAAATTACCGAAAAATATTTTCGGCGTACCGTTTACGTTCGGAATAATTTTGGTAATTAAGCATTATGTTTAATTGGATAACTAAGCATAGTTATGTGATTAATTTACATTAATCATGAGATTAGCATTAAGTGTTCGGATTTTTCAGTCCAAGTCATGCATTGCCGTGTGCTTTCGCATATATGTGTTATGTGTAAGTGTTAGTGCATTTGGTCCATTTTCATGAGCATAGCCGTGCATGATGTGGTGAGGTGACCATCATTTCCTCCCTTTTTGGTCCTTAAGTGCCGTGCGGTTTTTGTCATGTAGCATGTTGGTGTTTTGTGCATAGATTCCCCCAACATTGTCC